GGGAAGCCTGCTTCTCCCTCTCCCACTCCCCCTGCTTGTGTTCCCTCTCTCGCTGTGTCTCTCTCTGTCAAATAAATAAATAAAATCTTTAAAAGAAATAACTCTGTATCTATATTCCACACCATATAAAAAAATCTTTCAAAAAGACTGTTAAGAGAATAAAAACAAGCCATAATCTGGGAGAAAATGTTTGCAAAACATATATTTGGCAAAGGATTTATGCCCAGAATATATAAAGAACTCTCAAAACTTGACAAGAAAACAGACACCTGATTAAGAAGAAAATATGAGAATGGGCTTTATAATATACCTAATTTTTTATAGCTCCTTTATATCATGGTGAAAAGTTATTTATATTTTGTTCATCCAGAATCCCCTCACTGTTGAGAGCTAATCAATTTCCTACCCCTGGCCCCCTTGATGCTAACTTGCTCTTCGTATTTCTCCCTCCTCTCCCTCACCCTTCTGGCTATCTATATATCCCCACCTTGTCCTCCTCATATACTACCCTGACCTCAATCTCTCTCCCTTATAGTGATAGTCTTGAATAAAATCCTTCTGGCCATGGGGTGTCTGGGTGGCTCAGCTGGTTAAGCGTCTGCCTTCGGCTCAGGTCATGATTTCAGGGTCCTGGGATCGAGCCCCACGTCGGGCTCCCTGCTCAGCAGGGAACCTGCTTCTCCCTCTCCTCCCTGCTTGTGCTCTCTCTCTCTCTCTAATAAAAAAAAAAATCCTCCTGGCCATGTTTTCAACAAGCACCTGCTGCAATTTTTCTCTATGACAAACTTCAGAAAGGTCTAGAGCACACCTCCCCAGGGAAAGATACAGGTGGTCATGCCAGGAGCCTGGTTACACCTTTGTACCCACCAGCCTCCATCTTAGCCTTCCTCATGGGTTCTTTTTTGTTTTCATTTCTTTATATCACCCATTCACAAGAGTTTATACAACATGAATAACAGTGATAGTTCATGAACCAACTACCTGAATTAAGAAAACACATCAGCCAAAAAAAAAAAAAAAAAAAGAAAGAAAACACATAATCCCAGTATGTAAGACACTCCATGTACGCTCCCTCATCACCTTCCTGCTGTTACCCCCACCAAGGGTCCCTCCATCTTGAGGCTCATGAAAACCATGTTCTTGTTCTTCTTGATGGTTTTACCACCTACCCATCTTTGAGCAATACATTGCTTCCTGCTGCCTGATTTGGAAGTTTATATAAATGGCACCACGCCATACATTTCTTCTATGACTTGACTCTGTTTCAGCACTGTTTTTTAGATTTCAGTGCCTTGATTCCCACTCCTATACAGAATTCTGCCACATGAGCATTCCGCTGTCTACATATGTGTCCACCATTCCCGGGCACTTGTGTTGATTCTGGGTTTTGCTATCATAAACACCATTATGAACATGGTTCTCAGCAGGTACCCGCAAGAGTTTGTATAGTGGTTCTCAAATTTGAGCACAAACAGTATCTCCTAGAGGGCCTGTTAAAACGCAGATGGCAGACCCACCCCTGGAGTTCCTAGTTCTTTAGGTTTGCCGGAGGTGGATGCGTGGGGAGAGTATTTGTATTTCAAACTTTTCAGGCTTTGCTGAGGATGCTGGTCTGGGGACCACACTTTGAGAACCAAGGTTTACCCTTAGAAAGGAATTGCTGCATTATAAGACACACCCATTCAACGTGACTGAAAAAGGCCAAGCTACAGCCAAGCACGTGGGTGTGGGTGGGGTGAGTTCTTACTGCCCCATAAGTTGCTGGTTACAGTTGGGCAAGAGACACAGTTATATTAGGGACAGTCTTATCTTTCCATGTCCTTCAGTGTGGCTTTTAATATTGTTCCAAATATTGTTGAGCATTGATTATGAAAATGGGGTCAACTTGAAAGAGGCTGATGATCGACGACCTTAAGACACGTGACAGCAGTCAAGGGGGCTGTCTCTCACAGTCACACGAAGTAAATACTATTATCATTCCCACCTGGGAGATGGGAAGGCAGGCTTAGAAACCAGGGAGGAATAGCTGTCTCATAAATGAGATCATACAGCTTCAATTGTCTGCATTGGGATAAAATTCAGATCAGACTGATTTCGGAGGCCAAGTTTGGTTCCCGCCAAAAATAAGTCTTGATTCTGGGGAAAAAAGGCACCCCATGTGAGGGTCTTACAGTGACACCTCGGGGTTGCAGCTGGAGGGCCGTGGCGTGGGACAGCACAGTGGTCCTTGCGCCCAGAGCCCAAGCCAGTTCCTAAGGGAGCCCGTCAACGTTCAGCGTCTCGCCTGGCTTCCCAGGCTGAAACTGTGCCCCATCCACCAGTGTCGGCCAAGGCAAAGCGTGGACACCACCCTGGGCGGCCAGATGGGCTCCAGCTGAGCAAGTGAGGGATCACATCGGCAAGCATGGTGGGAGAGATAAGTAAACAGCATCTTGGGGGGCGGGGGGGGTGGGTGGGCAGCAGCATCATGGTCTACAAGGGCAGCCCTCAGATACAGCTCCTGCCCACACAGATAGAGGTTTTCAGGCAGCAACTTACAGTGTCCTGATTTTTCCCTGCCTTATCAGGAAGTCCATTTAGTAACAGATGATTGGATCCAGGATCTGAGTCAGTGATTTTTCCTTTAGAATTAACCATCTTCTTCCTTTATGATTGCGGCCTAAAATCAAGCACATCAGGATTCACACAATTCAGAAGCCAGGCACCTTCAGCCCCAGAACCACACCCACTACAAGACCCAGTGGGACAGCCTGTGGGCTCCTTAACTCTTTAGGGACTGGGAAAAAAATTGACCAAGAGCCAAATGATGGATGGAGACAGACCTGCCTCCCAGCTCAGCTGTCTTCAGGAATGTGCTCCCAGATCCCCAGTCTTTCCAACTAGGTATTTCCTGTTACAATTTTAGGTTGAACATCAAAAATTTCTTCGCCGTAAATTTAGTGGCAAAGAATGAAATGACAGATGCGTTTTTAAGATTCACATGTAGGGGCACCTGGGTGGCTCAGTCGGCTAAGCATCTGCCTTCACCTTGGGTCATGATTCTGCGGTCCCAGGATAGCGTCGGGCTCCCCACTCAGCAGGGAGCCTGCTTCTCTCTCCCTCTGTACCTCCACCCCCACCCCCACCCGGCAATGCGGGCGTGTGCATGTGTGTGCTCTCTCTTGCTCTCTCTCTCTCAAATAAATAAAATCTTTAAAAAAAAATGAAATGAAATAAAATTCACATGCAAAAGTAAAATTACTATAGAACCACTTGCAATGTAGCTGCAAGATTCTGAATATTGTGATTTGATACCCAAACTTATAGTTGAAAAAAAATACCTGAACTTTAAGTTCTTTTACTCTGTTCCCTTTGCTACTGACTTCATATTTTTATTCCATTTCCCCCGTGTAAGTGTATCTTAATGTCCTTTACTTTATTCTATTTTTTCCAGTTTTATTGAGAAATAATTGACATCCATCACTGCAAAAGTTTGAGGCATACAGCATGATGGTTTGATTTACATATTTTGTGTATTTTGAACCTCTTCTGATGACCACAATAGGTTTGACTAGCATCCACCGTCACATACAGATACAATACAGATACAGTATCATTTTGTTTTGAAAGAAGTTAATCAACAACCTTAGCATACTTGTCTGTATCCAAAAAATACAAACAGAGATATTTGAAATTCACTTTTAAAAATGTCTGGAACCACAAGTCTCTAAATATTAAATTTTACACATCTAATAATCTCAGGTAGAAGTAAGTGAAAATTTTTCTGTAACTTGAAATAAATGTTATGAAAAATATAAAGCACCTACTTACCTCCAATACACCTTCCTTTTAACTTGACGACGTAACGCTGACTAGTTGGACAGAAATGCAGAGCTGTTCTCCTACACCTCCCTGAAATCATGCAAAATTTACAAATTAGACCACAAACGGGTGAATAAATGTGAGTGCTCATCAAGGTCCCATTGCTGAGAACGGTGGGCAGGGGACGCGCATTGAAGCAAGGTCATAGTTCTCCGAATCCTTTTGGTAAATCTTAAATATTTTAGTTCTAAGATAGATGGATAAGGCAGAGAGCCTTACTGTAAATTTACTGCCTGAATCAATGATTTTTTTCTGATGCTCTCTGTGCTTCTTTTCATAAGACCCTCCCCCAAGAGCTATGCAGTCTTCCTTTTTTTTTTTTTTTAAGATTTTATTTATTTATTTGAGACAGAGAGAATGAGAGACAGAGAGCATGAGAGGGAGGAGGGCCAGAGGGAGAAGCAGA